TGCTACCTTGCAGTGATACCATGGAAACAAAGTACCAGTGCTTAAAGGTGAATTATTTTTCGCTGCATTAAGAATTCAATTGCCATTTAATCAAGAAACAAATTAAAGGACTCAGCTTGAATAGTACTTATCTGTTAGAACTGAAGTTGAATATCATATATTGAAAAAAATTGATGAATAAAACAACACTGTTGCTATGGTTACCAAGAAGGGAAAATATTCAATTTTGTGAACTTTTTATCAATATTAAACCCTGTGTGCCAACTTCTTGCATCCACTTAGAGATTGGATGATAGTCAAAATTAAAAGTCAAGTTAGCTGTTAATAAATATCAATCATAAAAGTTTTGGGAATCTACATTTAAGGGTACGTATCCAAATAAAGAAAATATTTTTTAGGTTTTTAAGTATATATTTTCTGCTTATTTCCATAGCAATTCTCTATTTAAAGAATCTAATCTAATTTTTTTCAAATGGGAAAACTTGGAGCACACCAACATCTTATAAAATTGATCATTAGTTATGAGAAAATGTGCTTTTTTTAAAAGATAGGCTCAGATTTAAACATACAGGGTGTTACTTTGAAGGCTCTCTGTGATATAAAAACCTTGGCAACCATTGCCAACCAAAATGAAATATCATATTTTGTTCTTGGTATATGTTTCAAGGCTCTTTTCTCTATTATTTGGTCACATTTCATCCTATAATTGCTTTTTATTTTTACGTGTATGACTTTATAAAATTCAATGAATATTTTTTTTACTTTTGAATACTTTGTTACCATAGTAACGTATGTAATAGCTGATTTACCAAACATGTTTATCATGCATTTGAGACATCTGACCTTCAACTTTTGGAAACAGTCATTACCAATTGTTTGCTTTGCCGCAAATGTTAACTATTTTAAACATGTTAAGAAAATTTTTGAACTTTACGACATGTTGCCATGGTAACTATAAAACATAGCAACCAATTTTTGCCTGATTTCAGTTTAGGGTATCAATGACTTTTATTATAGAGAGTTTGGAGAAATTCTGAGACTATGCGTGCCACAGTTCATATATAAAATTTCAAATCATTACAGAGAATGGCTCTTAATGTCCTAAATGTTCTGGCTTATTGTCAACTTATCTGGCAAAAGAAAATAATTTTACACTTAGATCTAAGTGATTTTGTTAAAGTGAACAAACTGCTTGTTTCACACTTGTTTCTTGCCAAATGCAACCTTTGAGCCATGCAAGCACAATATGAAAATGCTTTTAATGGATCATCAGCTACAGTTTACATTAACATCTTTGTTTGGGTCAGGTTTCTTCCATTCATTCAAAATTATCACAGACTTAATTGTAATTTTTTGTAGCCTAGTGTGTGAATTTGACCTTGTCTAAAAGACAATGATGTAATATCATTATACATGTAGGCACTTCTGGCAGAAAGTTACCTTTGTATGAAGTACGGTACTAGCCTATAAAATTCTTTTGGATTTCAAAAATACGTCCAGATAAGAATTTTACTTCTCTTATTTCAATGCTAGTTATGTACATTATGATGAAATAAAATACTTTTTAAAATTTTTACAAAACCTGACAAGGAGCACATATTCAAACTGTAGTTTTATCATTTCTACAAAGTCTAGAATTAAGCTTCAAAGATGAAAAAAAAAGACATAGAGCCTCCAGTATATCCTCCCAAACTTTGTTTTGAGGGAAGAAGAAAAGCCAAAGGAAGAAAGGAAAACACACTATACTAGCTAGACTAACATTACATTATCATAAAATGGACATCTTACACAAATGTAGCCATCCTTTAAAAACTCTTTGTTTGCCCTCTCCCAACCAACAGACTAAAATGGTCCAACTCAAAACATTTTTTAACCTACAAGAAACAATATTTTTAATATTTTTTAAAAAAGTTTTTTCAAGAATTTTCTCATCTCATTGACAAGTATGTTGACATTTTTCTTGAAAAAAAAATCATCTACTTTTAAAATTATTATCCCAATTTTTTTTAACACAAAGTCAAAAGAGGGCAAAAAGAAGTCTTTTAAAGATGGCCTTACATACTTTTTTTATACTAAAGACATTGATCATTCATGGCCACTATTTATTAAATCTAAATTCAAATCAAAGCATTCTCTTTTTTCCTGGTCAATTTTATTCCGAAAGTCTCTTCTTGTAGCCTTTGACTCAATTGAGCTAAAAAAAGGGGGTGATTAATTTACAAACACAAATAGAAAGTTTAATTTTTGTGGTTATAATTGTCAGAAAGTTAACATCTATTTTTTTCTAAATATCATTAGAAAGCATAATAATGTGAACAAGCAAATGATCAATATTCATTAGTGATTTACAAGTACTCAAAATTATTGTTTAAAATAACCAGTAATTAGTGTTCAAAATCAAAATGCAAAAATTTCTTACACCTTCTTTTGTTTGGAAGAAAACTTTTTAAAAATAAAGCATTAAAAAAAAATTCCTACACCTTTGTTATTATAAAGACATGTCACTGCAATACACTGTATAAGCATACATATACTAACATATTTTTCTTTAAATACATAGACCGATTTTATTTTCATATACATTTCATTGTTAAGTTTGATTCATGAACTTAGGCTACAAGTCATACATTATATGTAAATGTGCTGAAATTACATGTGTACAAATAATCTTTTTTCATATCAAGAAATCATGCTTTATATCAATATATGTATTCATAGACCTCCCCATGCCCATTAACTTCACTAATCAAGCAATGAGTATTTTACCCTATCTTTGGACTTTCAGTAGGGCGTGACTTTCTCTGTGCTACGTAATGGAGAATACTAGTACATGTAGATTCTCATTGGTTACGAAATTAATAACATAGGAACTTAAAATTGTTGTTGATAACGATCAGACGACTTATGCCCCACCTCTGTGCCGTGAGAGAACTTTTAATTGGCTATTTACTACACCAGTTGACATTCGGCCGCATTTCTATCATATGTATATTTCAACAGTGAAGGGAAGCTGTGTAAATTTCAGAAGCTAATTAGGTAACGTCGAGAATGCCAAGCCTTACTGAAAGTCCAAACTAAGCATGTAATTCTTCTACACACATGCCCTCGTCTGTGCAATAATGGTGAGAATTTGACAAAATGTGGGCAATCTCAATAGGATGAATATCTATTAGACAGAAATTTGAAAAATCTATAAAAAGACTCTACAAATTTTAAACATATGCCCTGTTCACATGGAGAGTTCAATTCGATTTAAACGTCAGTTTACTGCAAATTAGCTTTGCTTAGCGTTCACATGGAGAATTTAATGCGAATTAGTTTAATTCGAATTAATTTACTGCACATTAAATTCCTTCGCATTAACTCTGTGTGAACGCTAAGCGAAGCTTATTCGAATTAAATTTTGATGCATGCATAAGGCCAGAACTGAGTCACAGTACACATGTTGATGGTTAGATTTAGGTATCTGTGTTACATTTGGTTCAAAAATCAAGGAAAAGCATGGTAATCACTAATTGTATCCCTGTAGCCACTATGATTCAAATGGATGGCTCTGCATACATGACGTGATTTACAAGTGACGTCATAATAGCCTTACTGAATAGTCTTTTTGTAGTTATAAAATTTTAATTCGCATTAGTTTACTTCGATTTAGCTGTCGTGTGAACGCTATTTAATTTGCATTATTTCAATTCACATTAGTTTACTTTGCATTAATTTACTGCGAATTAAACTCTCCGTGTGAACAGGGCATTAGATTATGGTACATCTTTCAGTCTTAGTAAGCTTTCCTGTCACTAATTGTGGCTACTGTTTCTCATTCATATTTCAATTAACGTTTGGTTAATTAAAAATACAATTAAGAATTGAATAACATTTCACCATATTTGTGTAGATTTGTTCAACTGACCTTCATTCAAGGTCTATATATACTGGTATATATCTTTATTCATTACTGGGAAGCTACTATTCATAGTTACATGTGTGTTTCAAGGTTATAAGCAACTCTAAAGATACGCATAATTTTTTTAAATTGTGAAAGAGATGTCATGGCTGTACCATTCAAGGTCAAGGTGACAGATTTTATCTTGTTAAATGTATTCCCTTCCACAAATCTGAGAAGCATGTCACCTTACCGAAAAGCATGCATCCTGACTGAAAAGCATGTCTCCTTACTGAGAAGCATGTCTCCTTACTGAGAAGCATGTATCCTGACTGAGAAGCATGTAATATCCTTACTGAAAAGCATGTATCTTGACTTAAAAGCATGTATCCTTACTGAAAAGATTTCCTTACAGAGAAGCATGTGTTGTTACTGAAAATCATGTATCCTTACTATAAAGCATGTATCCTTACTAAACAGATTTCCGTAACATTTGTAATAACCAACGTTATAAACCTTGATCTTTCTTGAGGTGCTTAATATAGCTATTTCGACATGATCTCATGCTTCAATGTCTAAATAATCCAGTACATTACGAAATATATCAGTTAGATACTTAGTATATCTTAAATATACAGTACATACATCATTTTTGATTATAGCAATAAGATATTCTTAATCAATGTAACAATCACTTTTTATGGCACATTCTGTATCACATAACAAAATACATGTACCACGTACAACAACAAATCACTATAAATTCAGTGTTTATGTGTACAGTGAGACTGACATGCTGGTGACAACTCTAGTATGTCACATCTTAGGTCTACTGTAAAATAACCAACTCTTCACATCAACTCTCTTATGTTTTTATCTTGAACCTTCAATAGGAAAAATATCAACGTAGGTGAAAAATACAAACATTTCTCTGATATTCACATATGAATATAATGTTTTTTATTTTCCATTAACTAGTGATTTAAAGTACAAGTATGTACAACCATTACAGTTAAAAATGGCTGACAAGTTTTAAAATACACATGTACCAACACAACTCCTGTCATATACAATGATATTCTCCATATACCAATGGTTTGAAAACAAACAAAGCAAGTTTGTGCAGCTTGTTTAACATACCCGGTACTGGGTTATAGTAAAACTGATTGAAAAAAGGTCTTGAACCCATTGTTTGTTGAAGATTTCTACATAATGCACAACAAATATTCAACAATATTTCTGAAAAGTGATTTGTAATCTGATCCTCCGTCTCCAACAATAACAATTATCAGATTTGGCTTTCAGTGAGCCTTTCACTCATGAATAAAAAAAAAAATTCAAAAATCATAGCAAGTTGTTTCATGACACTGGTGGGATCTATAAACAAAAGATACTTAATTAACAAATAATTACAGGTATACTAGCGTAGGTACAAATTCATCCGTAACATATATATTCTCATGACCTATTTGTAATCAACAATACAAGACATAGAAGAGAAATACATTGAAATGTTAATTTGTAATCAACAATACAAAACTTAGAATAGAAATATAAAGGAATGTTTGTCTTTTATGTAAAAAGGTTTTCCCTATCCTTAGCACAGGATGCTGCAGTTATCCTTCTTTCTCTGTATCTCCGGGATACTGAAGCTACTGGATACTGCAGGTATCATCCTTCTTCCTCCGTTCTGGATAGTCCATCCGTTCCACGCGCCCGGAAGACGTTCGGTAAGACAGACCAGGCGATTCTACTGGACTCACCTGAGAAGCAGGTAAATCGGGGGGTGTAGCGGGAGATACTGGTGTTAGATGTAAAGGGTTGTTGTACACCTGTCCTACACTCACAGAAGGTTGAGCACCAGCATTCTGAGCACTACTCGCTTGAGTTCCGTAGCCTTGAGCACTGCTAGAAGAAATGTAAGAACTGCTAGAAAAATTCTGGCCATAGCCAGAATGTGCATTAGCAGTCCCTGTATTTGAACTCTGAGCACTTGCTCTTAAAGACGTTGGCCTGCTCACAGGCATTGAAACTGGAGCAGGCGAAACAAGATCATCACCTTTCCCTTTATATGCTATCAGGTATTCTGGGTAGCTCTGGTTTCTGTCAAAAGTGACAAATATTGTAGGGTTGGCCATATTATCTACACACGAATCATACCGCCTGTGACCTTCCATGATCGGGGGACATTTCATGTCCCTCTCCCCTTTGGTGTAGCTACCAATAAGAACCTTTGCTTTTAACATCAACCGCAATGGACCTCTGGTGTAGCAATTGCTGTACTTTGAAGTAGTAGCAAAGTATGACCCTTGACCATACATAGTGGCATTTTTCCCACTCAATCTAAAATCAAAATTGGTAGTACAAATTCCATAACAAGTGTTTATGGAATCTGTGCCATGAAAGAGACTTCTCTCATCCACGCTTCCACCTCTTGCCTCACAGATTCTTTCCATATTGGACTTCTTCCTATATAAAAAGATTAAACTTCAATTGCTGAAAAATTATTCTTTTTCTTTACCAAATTAAAAATTTTCTTCATCCCTACCCTTTCTCTTCAAATCCCCAAGACTTAAATATTTTGACAAGTAATAAGAGATTACTATTGTGTACATTTGTACCTTCATTTCATATGTCACATCAGCCCGATAGGCCCCTTAATTATCAGCTAAAAGGCCAAATGTTTACTTCAAATTATTGCTCATGCTTAATACAAAACATGTACAAAACACATATGTATAAAACTTATTGAAATATTCTGAATTCTGTATATAGGGTTATTTTTGCCCTACTTTATTTTTGGCCCTTTCACACCTGCAAACAATTTTGCCCTGTTCTGTTTAAAAAATTTGGAACGTCCCTCTGAATATTTCATGATATGGAGACGTCACCATTGCCGGTGAAGGGCTCAAATTTAGGCCTAAACGGCCTTTGAGCAGGGAGGGATCACGTGCCACACCTGCTGTGACACGGGGGTTTATACGGTCTCATCCAAAGGCGAAAGGACAAGCAAGGGGGTACTGAGGACCTATTCTAACCCGGATCCCCATGGGGCTAAAAAATTGGAAGTTGAAGTTGTATTCATGAATTCATCCCATTTTAAATTCACCCAACTGAAGGTCCCTTGTATACAATATTTAATTCCTGTAGATGGCAAATTTACAAAGTCATTATAGAAATCTCAGGAGACTTGACTTACATTTTGTATTCGTTCCAGAGCTCCAGATTCTGTACACGATAAATATTGCAGATCTGGAAATTGTCCTCCTTAAGTGTGCTGAAGAAAGAAGATTTGACGTCTACAAACTCTTTGTTTGATTCTTCTAAGTCCACTAATTCAAAATCATGTTCCAAGTCCCATGGAGCCCAACCAGGGGGTCTGGAGCCGGGATAGGATATGGCAAGGTATGGAGGACTGAAAATCATTGGAGACTGATTAGAAAATATTTACAAAAATTAAGTAACCTGAGTTTGGAAAAATTTAAGAAATCTAAGAAAATCTAAATAATCCAACCTACAGAATGAACTATACCTACCTCTGAATTGCTTGTAATCATTCTCCTTCCCCCCTCCCCCCTCCCCCCACCAAAGAAATAGATTATCAATTTTATTTTCATATTGTGATTACCGTATAATCCCTATTAACCGCCCCTGCCCCTATAAGCGCCCCCTTAGGTATTTTTCAATTGTCAGGAAATAAGGGCCCCCTGTACAGTGATTAAAATCATCTAGAATTGTATAAAAAAAATGAAAGTGAAAATTAAACTTGTCTATTAGCTGATTTCTCAGTGGAAAATGAATATTAATTTAGCATTTGGGTGAATTATCTTCACTTCCAGTAAAGTTAAAAATTATTATAGTTGTTCCTTTTATTTATTTTTTATTTTCAAAAGATTTTTAAAGTTAAAATATGACATTAAATATCATAAAGAGAATATCAAAATAATCGCCCACTTTTTGCAATTTTCTAAGCGCCCGGGGCGGTTTATAGGGATTATACGGTACCATGTGCTTCACTATTTTAACCAGTTAGGGATTTATCTAATTGAAAGGGCAAAGAGTGTCTGTCTGTAATTTTTTTGTTGTTTAACTGCAATATGGGGCCTCAATTTATACAGTCTCATCTGAAGGATGTTGTCTCTACGTCCCACAGTGGAATTCAAACCTGTTTACTAAGGATCAACTCCTTACTTCGTGACTCTACATCATCATCATCATCTTCCTGTACACCCTGTGGTGTGCAGGGCAGCAACATACTTCATCACCCTTTCCTGTCCTGGGATAGCCTTGTCAACCATTCCCACGGTCTGGTGCATTGCCTTCATCTCGCCTTCTACTGTCCTTCGCCATGATGTTCTAGGCCTCCCCCTCTTTCTTTTGCCCTCTGGTGTCCAATGCAGTGCTGTTCTAGTTGTTGACTGGGAGTCTTTTCTGAGAACACATCCAATCCACCTCCATCGGAGCTTGGTTATGATGGTACCCATGTCCTCTTGTTTGATCTGCTCAGCAGGTCTTCATTTGTTATCTTATCAGGCCAGAAAATCCCGAGTATTCGGCGGAGGCAGGTGGAATGGAAGGATCATAGTTTGCCAAGATCTGTCTCTGTTATTCTTCAGCACTCCGATCCATAAAGGAGAGTTGACATAACACGTACAGCTCTGGTAAAGCTTCAGCTTGGTGCTGGTGCTGTACTGTGCAGACCTCCAGATGTTATTCATTTCCCTAAATACTCTCCTGGCCTTGCCCAGTCTGCTGTGTATGTCCTCCTGTGTGCCGCCCTCTGGTGTAATGATACTACCCAGGTAAATAAAGTTATCTGTCTAGCATAGTTCCTCCCCATTGATCTTAACAGGGGCAGGCAATTCCACATTAAGTCTCATTGTCTCCGTCTTTTTTATACTGATGCGTAGTCCCACTTGCTGTCCATAGGTTTGCAACCGGTTGGTCTTCTCTTGGATATGCTGGTGTGTATGAGACATTAGAGCAAGTCATCCGCAAAGTCCAAATACTCCAGTGTTGAAAACAGGTCCCAGTGGATCCCCCTTGGAGAGTCTTCTGTTGTCTTCCGCATGACCCAATCGATGACCAGGTTGAACAACACTGCAGACATTACGCATCCTTGTCTGACTCCAGTTTTAACATCGAAGAAGGTGTCATTGTATCCTACTGAGCATTTAAAGTTGTTATAAAAGCTCTTTATCAGGTGGACCATTTTAGATGGAATACCATAATGGCGTAGGGTGCTCCAAAGGCTATCTCGGTGTATGCTGTCAAATGCCTTCTCAAAGTCCACAAAGTTTACATACAGTTGTCTCTGCCACTTTGTGCACTGCTCTTTGATGTTGCGGAGTGCATCTGCTCAGTACATCCTCTATGTTTCCTAAATCCTGCTTGCTCTTTCCTCAATACAGCATCAACAGCGTCTGACATTCTTTTGATGATTATTTTGGCCAGGATCTTACTTGGCACAGACAATAGAGTAATTCCCCTCCAGTTGTTACAATCACTCAGGGCCCCTTTCTTTGGGATCTTGACAATCACCCCTTTACACCAATCATCAGGTACTTTCTCTCCATCCCACACAGTTGTGAACAGTGGTTGGAGGATGGTGGCTGCTATTCCAGGATCTGCTTTAAATAGCTCTGCATCAAGATTGTCGTGTCCTGGTGACTTCCCGTTCTTAAGAGTCTTGACTACATTCATTATCTCCTCCTTAGTTGGTGGGTCAGTGTCGATGTCCAGATCCTCTGTGGCTTCTGGTACGACAACAGCTTCATCAGGTGATGGTCCATTAAGAACTTCGCGGAAGTGTTCAACTCATCTCTCTTCTTGATCTTTTTCTGATGTCAGCAGTGTTCCATGCTTGTCTTTGATAGGTCCTCCTGTGTTTCCTATAAATTTGCCACACACTCGTTTCGTGATCTTGTACACTCTCCCTTGCTCTCCCTGTACTGCTGCTTTCTCTGTCTCAGCTGCAAGTTGGTCCATGGCTTCTCACGGTGTGCAAGCTTCTTGACTCTCTTGTTGACCTCACCATACAGCTCCTCTTGCCTCTCACGCAGTCGTGGGGACTTGGTCTGCAGCATCTTTTTCTTAATTTCCTTTCTCTCCTCTATAGCAATTAGAGTCTCCTGCTGTATCCAGTCTTTGTTGGTGTTTCTTTTGCGAAAGCCTAGTTTCTTTTTGCTGCTTTCAGGGTATACATGTAGTTGGGTCACTTGCTTCCAGGTGTTGTCCACATTGGCCTTCTCACCTTCATCATATGCATCTTGTAAGATCTGGAATCTGTTTCTTAATTCGCTGATGAAGGCAACTTTCACGGTGTTCTCTCTCAGTCTCTGTATGTCAAAACGTGTTTGAGTATTAGGCCTTACTGTAAAAGTGGTTATTTACACTGGTTGTTAAGTACGCGTTTGTGACTGCCAGATATTACGCGTGGGTATAATATACGCGGTCGCATGAGTTACCGAGAAAAAATTACGCGGTCATCAATATCGTAACTAATATTGGGTTGTTCTCCTTTAAAAATGATAAGAAAAAAAAATTTAAAAACAATTAAAAACAAAGTAAACAAATCAATAATAATTTAAACTGTTGGATTGGTAAATATAACGTCGATGTGTACATGCAGTCAAAAACAGTGAAGTGTGAACAACTGGTGTGCTCTTTATTGTAATTATTAATACAAGCTCAAACTTCAAAGTGAAATCTACTTACCTGTATCTGTGTGTCGAGTTTCGACAATTAATTTAGTAGGTATGATCGTAGTGACTGTTAGTTTATTTAAACATTTTGGACTAATCATTTGAAATTAAGAAAGTTATAAACGAATAAACAAAGGAAATGAAAATGAGTATCGATGTTATGAAGCTTTCATTGCGTGACGTTGCTTTAAAGTATTTAATATGAAGATGCGTTTTTCATTGCACAAGTAACTTAATAAACAGTGAAGTTTTCATCAAATTTGTGACATATTTATCTATTTTCGTGCGTTCAATACCACGATAAAGTACCTCTGGTTCAACCCGTCTAACAGTATAAGTAATAATCTAGAATTATTCCTGAAGATTGAAATTTTGTGACCATACGCGCGGGGGTATTTTACG